AAAAACCTCTAGGCTCTGTTCCAAAGCTATTGTCTCATTTACCTCACATATTAAAAAGAAAAATAAAATAATGGAAGGACAGGGAACTGCACTTTCCTGGTTTATTTGATTCTGTCATGAAAGATGAAGGACAAAACTTCACTGGTCTTCAAAAATCTAGCACATACATCCCAGCAGCTAAAGCAAACAAAAAACACGTGAAGAACAGAGCTGTGGAGGACTGATGCTTTTCCACACCTGGGAACAAAAAGTACCTCTTTGCTTTTAGCTCAAAAATGGACACGCATGAACCCTGTCTGTCCTCCTTTAATAACCGAGGATAGAAAGGCAGTGTGAAAGGCTGCTAGTAAGACAGCATTGTTTCCTACAAGTCCAAATCTAGTGCTGTGGATAATGTGATATATAATGGCATAATGGTATAGGTGGTATATGATGCACCAATGAATCTGAAGCATGCTTAATAAAAATGAAGTAGCAGCAGCAAGCCTCCAGCAGGCTCTGCAGAAAATGGAGACAAGGAACCATTTTTCCAGTGGTACTGGCAAGCCAGAAGTGGCCTGATTAAACAGGGCCTCTAAAAGAGATTCGCCAGTAGCAAGATCCTCCCATCCTTAGTTCCCAAATAATCAATTCCAAGCTTCACAGTAAAAATTTGCACTGAGAAGTTGGTGTTCTGGTTTGTTATTTGGGGTTTTTTTATATACAAAGGTAACTACAGGCTAATTTTCTTCCAGTCTTCTTATTACTATTATATTATGCCAATTTATCCTGGTTGTATCTGTTCACACTAAAAAATTATCACGTGTAATGGCAAGACTAAAACTAAGAACCAAAGGAAATGTTAAGATGCAGTGCACATTCATTTCCTATCTTCAAATCACATTTGAATGAGACACACGCGAAAAATGAACCTTCAGTATAAATATGTGAAAGTCATCTTCAGCCAAAGAGTGTCTGTATCAGCTATTCCCGCCCCCCCCACATTTTTCCTTGCTGAAGAACTTCTCTCCCAGATTCATGCTTTCCTCTTACCAGTTTCATTCCATTTATTTGGCAAACACTCGCAAGTTTTCCATCATTTTTTGTGGAAGAACGAACTTATGCCACCTTATATCAAAAGGGAACTGTTGCTGAATTCACTAGAAGAGCACAAGGTTTGCCAGAACTTTTTTGCGCTCTCCCTTTTTCAGAAATCTGCTTCTATATACACCAAACACTGCAGTATCATTCTTTAAAATACAACTTCAAATCAGTGTAACTAATAAAAACCAGAACATTATCAATAGATATGATCCATCACCTAAGTCAGTTTACTTCAATTTAGAATTTGAGTTTAGAAAAAACAAATCACTGCTGAAAAAAATACAAATCTTTCTTACTATTGCATAAAACGAAATTAAAATTGAACTTCCCACTTTTTTTTAATTCACTTATATTTTCTTATTTTGCTTTCCCTTTTAACACACTGACAAGCCACGTTTGCTTGTCCAGTCTTAAGTACTTCTATGAAAAACATTGCATTGAATCATTCAAAAGGGAAAGGAAAAACGAAAAGCCAATAAAACTCCAACAAAACTTAACTCTCTCCCACCTTCTAAGACTGTGAGAAAAGGTCACTTGAACAGCAGATTTGAGAGCACAGAGACAGCACAGAACTTCTCCACATTAAAAGAATACTAACTAATCTGTTCCCTTAAACGGCAATATCCATCCCATTGGCTTGCAAGAGTAACAGAAACAGCAACTGATAAATTTATAATGGTCTTCTGAAGGTCTGTGCCACTGGCAGTCAGTTGTATGCAGAAACAGAACATTTGTAAGTTTGACAGCTCCTTATTAAAAGCAGAACAGCATTACTGGCAAAGGAGATGATCAACAGAAACTCTCCATTTTCCCCTAGCTACAATCTCTCCCCCAGGACGTGTAGCCAACTGAGGCCAGCTGGCCAACACATTGTTTTCTGCTTTTCCATTTTCCACAAAATTTCACTCCCAATTTGAACCATGCCCCTGGTACATGGTGCCACTGCCCTAACAATCAACCAGTTTGCAAGTGTTGAGATGGTATTGATTTATCACCAGTTCAGACTGAAATTAGAGGGTGACACCAGGCACTGAATAGCTAAAAATCTATAATCTACATATTCTCCATGTACGATAGGTACTAAAGTTGAAAATCTCCATGACCGCAATGCAGAAATATCAGTAAGGCGAATTTTCATACTTGCCTGTTTACGAGATCTCATTGCTGCCTCTTCTAATGTTTCAGCAGCTTCAAATTTGCCCTGTCGTCTGTAAAGTGCTCCAAGGTTCTTTAAGGTAGTTGTTACTGTTGGACTATTTGAAGGGGGGAAAAAAAAAAAGTTATTTATATACAAACACATTAAACTCCTCTCAATTCACCAACTAATAAAAAATTAATATAGTATCTATCCTATTTTTTGTAATTACTTAATAAATCTCTCTTGAAATATACTATACTGAACTTCATGTACAGGGAAAAACCTGTTAACCCCTTTCACTGTGCGTTAATGGCTTACACTTTGATTAGTCAACAGCCCTGAAACTGGAGGTTAGTAATTAGCCTCTAGAACTACTCAAGAGAAAACTGGAGTGCTATATCCTTGTGTTTCTCAGATGCGCCTTGAGGTGAAAGTTTAGCTCAATCTGAGTGTGTCCAACTGAACAATTACAAAGCTTCCAGAAAACAGGCCTACCCATGCATACAGTGACCATTACTGTACCTTGTGTTAGTCACAAAACAGATTACCAGTTCCTTTATCAGCTTTTACTTAATACCTATTTGCAGTTTCTGTGCAGTCAAACTATGCTTGAACAATAAAAGGAGGGGGAAAAAAAAATTGCACATTCCATTAACAAGTCTCATACTCCAACACGACATTTTTGTTTCAATGACACAATGGGAATTAGCTCAGTCACTGTATTGTTGCTTGAAGTTTTTCTCCAGTAACAGCAGAGAAAAGATTTCCGCATGCATTAGAATGAACTAGTACATGAAAAACAAACCAACAAGATGTTTTGCACCCAGAGTTCTGGATGGAGAAAAAAGAGCAGATTTCAACAGTACAAAGGTTCTGTTGCTTGTTAAATACAAGAATTCAAATGCTAAAGAAACAAAGTAACCCTCACTGCACATTATCAGTACTAGGTGCAGGTTTTTTCGTATATTGTACCACCCACACATTAAAAAAAAAAGCAGTTAAGGAACAAAATTAAAGCAAACAAAAAAGTATTTCACCAAGTATAATCCAAGCTGAGGTTCTTGTTTCTGCTATTTTAAGATACATTTTTTCATTCACACAAAACTATATTCTTCAAGCTTTAGAAACTCGAATAATGCTGAACCATGGCAGTTTAACTTTGTTTCTTGTGCCAGCTAGAAAACTCAAGGCTCAGTTATTTGCAGTCTCCTTTTTGCTTCTGGCCCTCTCTAGAGGTCTTGCTGGGGCCCGGAGAGCACGTATGCCAACCCACAGTATAAAAAGAAGGAAAGGTGACCTATGCTTCCACGTGAAGGACTGCCAAGAACACAAGTGGTGAATTTTTACATCACTTACTAGATCTAACCAGCCCAGATTAAAAGCATGCCCTGGACTTGAAAACTGCTACTGTGCTTCTGAAACCCAGTCTTGGGGCTTGAATTTTTAATGGTTTTTATAGTCCTAAGCAAGCAGCTGCTTTGGTTTCACTTTTAACGTGCTTTAATCTGACATTTCCAGATACTGGGCATTGCCGCATTGTTTGTCCTGTAAAGAAACTACCCACCTGTCAACTTTGCAAGCTTTGTACCAGCCACCATATTCTCCAAAAGATGTGCCATCTTTTTGCTTTCCCTAAAACAAAAGTAACATTGAAGAAAAATAACTGATCTGTAACTTAAATAGTAAACACTCTAAAAAAGATTTATGACAACGGCCTTACTTTGCATTCTTCCCTCTCTTCCGCATGCATCCAAATAGGCTTATTTTCATCTGATGGAACACAAGAAAATATTTTATAGAAGTACAAAACTACAAAGTAGTCATTGTTTGATTTTCACCCTTCTGAACTGAAGTTGTAAACCAGAGAATTATACTATTACCAACAACTATTACAAAAAAAGCTTACTGTCCATACTACCAGCAGCAGATAAATAAAGCATGCGCCTTTTCTTTTACAGTTTCACAGTTCTGTCTTCTTTTCTTATCTGAATTTAGACACAGTTACTTCTGAGAAGCTTTGAAGTCAATATATGCTGCCATTGATTTGCCATGTGCCTAGTTCTGTGCTAGAAAACATGCATTTATTTCTTTTATCATAACAACTGTTTTGACATCTACTAAGTGGTGCATATGCTACTGTCATGGAATGCAATGAAAATTCTTCACTGTGATTTATAGCTGATAAAATGCATTTGACTTCAATATACAGTGTAATTCACAATTTAAGGGTATTTTCCCCATTCTTTAAACGTATTAATGGAGGACTCACGCTAACAATGCATTTATTTTATCATTAAAAATCCTGCACTGACTTTTCCCTGGGACTGGAAAGTGACATATATTTTTCTGCCTCTATAAAAGTATCAAAATTGGTTTTATTTGGGCATAAGATAAATTATGACAGAAATACAATTCATAAAACATAAACCTACCAAGCCTACCTCACATAAAAAAACCTCTCCTTTTGAATCAAATGTTACTGCTATATCTAAATGCTTTCTTATGATGAATGTACTTCAATGCACCTACAATCTCACTTTAAGCCTACCTTAAGCAGACAACAATTTTAATGAAGATACAACTAACTTCCTGCAGATTTTACTTCATAACTCCTACAAAAATGAAATATACATTCAAATCTAGAGACTAGTTTCTTACCATCTACAGAGCCAAATTCCCGTTCGTGTGCACGAGTAAGAATCTCTTTGTATAAAGTTTCCGCTTGCTTAAATTTGCCCTGCTTTAGGTAGCAGGATGCCTGAAAACAAAATACCCCCCAAAAGGTTTATCAGCACACAGTTTTGTTCAGCTTGATAAATAATAAATACAATACATGCTGAAGAAAGGTGCATTTCCATTCATCAGAAAATTTTACTTTTTCTTAGATTTACTTTAAAAGGCTTACCAGGTTATTCTTTGTTTTCGCAACATTTGGATCATCTGGTCCCAGCTTAGTTTGGTAAATCTCCAGTGCCCTCTGATAGTAGTATTCAACCTCCTCATATTTACCCTGGTTCTGGCATAGTAAAGCCAAGTTATTTAATTGTTTGGCAACATCAGGGTGATCTTTCCCCAGAACCTGAAAATGAAATATCTTACATTAAAACATTTTCCAATCATCGTATCAGGGTTTAGAAATATCCTGTTAGTTTTTATTTCTTGTCAATTCAACATGAGGATGACAAAAGCAAAATTTGGATTTGAAATATATGAAAATGACTCAATTCTATTACAAACTGAGAATGTTGCAGAATGATTCATAACAGGATGAATGTTAAGTGGTGTAATAACATCATATGCACCGTATTTTACAACAAGTCAGGCATTCAGTCTCATACACTAGAATAAATAGTAGCTTAACTATCAAACGGGAAAGAAAAAGGTAAAGAAGGTTAATTACAAAACACAGAATTTAGAATATACCCAGAGTGCTTCAACAGCTCCATAGAACTACTGGAATTTACTACTGTTTTGAATTTCAGACACTGCTAACTACTAGGGCATTGCTAACTCTGTGGTTTATCTGGCAGATCTACCCAACCGAAAAATAAGAAAAGTGTTTTAACTTTGCTCCCTCCCCCAAAAAAATCCATTTAAAGATGCTGTATTCTTTTACTCATACCTTTTCTCTGATTTCCAGAGCTCGCTTACACAACGGTTCAGCTTCTTTGTACTTTCCGCGCTTACCATAAAGTACTGCAAGATTGTTTAGAGTTGCTGCCACCTGTGAACAGTAGAGAAATATTAATTATACTGGAATTTTCCAATACAAGTATCTGACAAATGAACACATCTGCAATGCATTGATGTTTTCAAATTTTACATGTGCAGAGTAGACCTCTTGAAATTTGCAAATGAAGAAATAATTATCATTGAATGCATACATACCAAACGAGGAAAGGAAGAAAATGAAATAATGAAATATTTTTGCTTCATTTGTGGAAATGTCATTTAGTGCATACATTTTCTTCATATGTTCCTCTCTTACAAAGTTACCCCTCACTTCTATACTCAGAGTTGCCCTGCTTTACACAGGCTACAAGAAGTGAGATCTCATTAATTTTAAACACTAAGTACAAAAGCTTGATTTATGTTTCATTAAAAAGCAGCAGTAAACCAAATCAGAAGTACACCTTCAATCTGAGTCTAATAAAGTGATTTGAGTAAGCAAATAAAAATCTTTCTTCCAAAATTAATTTCCCATAGAAAATCCATGCAATCCGAAATCAAGTATGTGCAAGTTATTTGTGGTGAAACAGCATTGAGTATAATGCTCAAAAGGTACGTTAAATATTTAAGAGAAGACAAAGAATGTTACATTGTGGCCTCCTACCTGTACTGGTTAGAGATAAGCCAGGTCTTAAAAACTTTCCTGTTGAGTTTAATATTAGAATGAGTTTAAAAAAATTCAGTGAAAAACACAACTAAGAACATGATATGCATGTATACAAACCGCTGGATGATCTTTGCCCAAAGTCTTTTCGCGGATAGCCAAGGCATCATTCAGGAGATTTGCTGCATCTTTGTATTTGTTCTGGTCTCTAAATTTTAAAGAGTCATAATTAATACTGGGGATTCAGACAGGAAAGTCATAAAAATGAAGCTGACGTCAGTACTGGCCTAAAGATGCTAGTACAAAAGAAGAGTAATTCAGAATACATTCCGAAGTCAGGAAGTAAAAACCTGAAGCCTGTAACTGTAAAGGAGTTTGCTGGTTGAGGACTAGCAGGTACTACCACTACACTGCTGTTCAATTTATACCTCTGGATTATCTGTTAAGTGGGTAATCAAGACATGCCCCCTCAGCAGACAAAAGAAAAAAAAAAGTATCAAAACCAGCTTCACTCACAAAACAAAGGCCCAGGCAAAAATGCAGCAACTTGTTTGACTTTTAAGTATAGGGAGACAAAGAAATATTGCAGGACTCTCTTTGAGGGTTTTAATAAAAAACAGGGAATGGAAAATAATACAACAGTGAAAAAATACTAGTCTGAACATTAACAGGTTGTAGCCAAATATTAACTATTTAACTGATATTTTATCTATGTCAGTATACAAACCTGTACACCAAAGCGAGTATGTTCAACATAGTGGCAACATCAGGATGATCGTGACCCGAAGTCTTCTCCAGATCTTCAAGAGCTTGTTTACAGAGAGGTACAGCAACCTCGTATCTACCTTGGGAAGCGTACTGAATAACAAGATTATGAAGGGTCCTTAATCTTGCTGGAATTTCATAGCCACCTTGCTGGGCAGCAGCTGCTGCACTGCTATGCTGCTGTTGAACTGAAAGAAATCCGCAAGATTTCAAGTTGTTTAGAAGATGACTGTAACTAAAACATCTAACATTACTGCTCAATGACACAAAATGAGTCACTGAATTTTATTTCTTCAATACAAAGTGTTAGTATTAGAACATACTTCACAGCAGTCATGCTGTCTTGAACAGTGACAATGAAAATATTCTTCATACTCTGTCCAGTATTGTATTAATATTATTTTACATTTCTATTAATTCAAAAGGGCCAAATGTAATAAACCAATGCAGAAAGTAGGAAACTATTTCAGCTCAGCACATCATTAACAGTTCTCAAGATAATATCGTAAATTTGCACTCACAAATATCGATGTTTC